GGCAAAACTCAAACATATCCCGATACTACCAGCTGATGAGGTTAAGCTTTGGGGCATTAGCACTAGTGAATACCTTGTGGAAAGAGTGTTCCTAATGCAAATCATAATTTTTCAAATTAAAACTGGAAAAATGTATTCTATGGAAGTTGAAACACTGGTCTTACCTGACCATGGTAGACCATCTTCCCCTATTATTTTAGGCACTAACACAGACATGGTGCGGGAAGTGCTCCAGATTTATCTGAAGGAAGTTGGGGAGGCTTCATTGGTGGTAGGCTGGTGTTTCCTCCTATCTTGCAGAAAAAAATTCATAGATTGACCCTTCAACCAGGCTTCTTTTCTATGCCCCCATGACTTTTAGTCAATGCCTATCTGCCTATTTATCTATTAAAGGGGGAATGTCAGGTCTCTGTGTAGTCTCTTTCTGAGCAGGACCATGCTTTTAACCAAACCGATAGTAGTAGAGAAGAATCAGATTGGTGAGATTGGGATCACTTCAACATTGTTAGTGGCTAATCAGCAACTGTTAACTTATCAGCAATTATCAAATGATAAATTGCAATGTATTTATTTTATAAACCTTCAAGATTTTTTTGAATTTAACAGAGTTAGATATTTGGTACTGGTGAAATTACATAATTACTCCTTCAATTACCAGATTTCACTGTGATTATTTTACTTTACTTTTCTTTAATGTTAAATATAAAAATACCATAATAAAATGCCACATTCCAAAATAAATACCATGAAGTACAATGGTGTGAAATTAAAAAAAAAATCTGCTTGTCCAAGGGACTTGCGTGGTAGCCCAATCTACTTGTCCTGAAACAAAATAATTTAAATTAAAAAGATTAGGCCCCTTGCCAAGAGCCCTGAATGTTGATCAGGCTATTTACTGAACTCTGAATAAATCTGAAAGGAGAAATGGTGGCAAAAATAACTAATCTGGAAAAAAAATCTCTAAATCTAGTCACAACATGGCTATTTATGTCTCAGTTTTTCCATTTGCATTTATTTTGCATAAATTCAGTCTTGCCCTCCCACAGTCTCCCCCTTTTTTCATAGTGTGTGTGCAGTGTAAGCTTGCTATTCCTCATCTGTGTACAGTGTGCTCTTCCTGTTTGCCATGTATGTGTTATGAGTGCTGGCATGTATGCATATGGTGTGTACTTGCTGTTTGTGCAGTGAGTGCAGGCTATGTGTCATGTGTGTGCAGAGAGTACTGACTGTGCTTGGTGCAAATATGGTGTATTTTAGCTGTACGTCATGTGTGTGATGTGTGTGCTAGCTGTATGTCTGTCATGATACACACATACACTGACCCATACACACCAACATCCACACACACACACAAGAACTACACTTGCTCTGATACGCACACACATCAGATTACCTGTAGCTAGCATGCAAATTGTCCCATGCTTTCTTTGCCATTAACAGCATTGCAGGATGTCATATTGAATCCCGATGGACATGGGTCCTGAGCCATTCTGCCATTCTACACACCTCCTTGTGAGCTTCTACAGCTTTCTAATACAGCGTTCCCAGGTGGACCAGCTCGGACCTTGCCAGATATACACTCCCTGTCCAACACCAATGCTCCCAAAGGCAGCCCTGACTCTTGCCCACAGCCGGCTAGAATATAAAATCTTCCTGCCCATTGACTGTAACTGCATGTCCTAGATGTTGGGCAATATTAAATTCCACGTCCCTGAAGTAGAAATTAAGGAATATAAAAGTAGCTTCCATTGTGGCAAGAGTTAGAAAACATCTACAAAGAGAAAAAACAGAATGCCTTGAATGTCAACATTTGTGACAGTTTCACAAATGCGAGTAAGAATTTCAGGAAGGGCAATCAGTAAGGGATCTAATGTCTCTGCAAAATAGGAAGAATTGATGCTGGAGGAGATTGAGTACAGAGGTAAATAAACTTGATGCAATTCCAGTTAATCACCCATCTATACCAGTATGCATAAAACAGTCCAATTTTATGGCAAGACAAAAGACCTCATGTTTTGCTTAATCCTTCTTTACCATCTGTGAAGCTTCCAGAGCTGATTTCTAACAATTGATAACAAAACCTAGGTTTTGAAACAATACTGAGGTCATGTCTGTATTATGATGAAGGGTGTGTGGGTCTTGATCCATGATCAGAGAAAATCCCTTGAGAGTGAAGTAATGCCATGACCTGCTTCATTAACTCCTTGCCATCGAAATTTAACGATGACTTTGCATGACCTGTACAGTGAAGTACGCATCTTTGAGATTGAAATGGGAGAATTAGTCTCCCACTCAGAGGAGATCTCGTAGAAGATGGATGCCTTCCATCTTGAAGTGCTGATACATGACATGTTGGTTTAGGTCTCTCAAATGGATGACCAAACGGAGGTCTCTTTTTGTGGACTAGAAACATGTTGCTGAAAAATGTACGTGGGAAAGGCGATCGTTCGATCACTCGTTTGTCATGGACGCCCTCAAAAGTGTCAGGGAGACATTTTGTATGGGAAAGGTGACAAAGTGTATACCACACAGACAATTGTCAAGAAATTAATACAAATATAAAAATGCCACACATGCAATTGTCCAGAATAAGAGACTATAATTTGAATAGACTTACCCAAGAGGCAAGCAGCAAAGAAAGAGGAGTTGGGTGGAGTCTAATTGCAATATATGTTCTTGATAATGCATTTTGATTTGGTTGATTTGTTACCCACATTTCTTTTTATCCACAACTGTTTCTTTGCTGCCGGGAAGTTCAGAAAAGAAGGATTAAGCAAAATTTTCACCTCCTGTCTAATCCCTAACCTCCACCTTTTCCCATTTCTACTTGTCTGCTTCTCTCCCACTCTTATTTGAATAAATCTGGAAATATAAGTGTGACCCAAAAAATACATACATGGACTGCTTTTAGACACTGATGCTGGCAGGGACAGATTTACATTATGAGCACCTATAGAGATAGATTTCTCAATTTTGATAAAGACCTGGGAACAGGTCGAAACGTTGCCGTGTCCATTAAATATGCTGAAAATTATCACGGTGAGTGCCTGAGACCTTTTTTCCTTTTGATACAGATTTCTCAAGCGTCATGTCATGTACTTGCTGAAATTACTAAATCCACCTTTTTGACAGTTTAGCTGTTGCAGAGTTACATGATATAATGGGCTAAAATATCCTTTTACACATCTCATCGTTTTACACATGATCCCCCCAAAAAAGACCAAAAAAACCCCAAAACAAATTAAGGTGATAACCAGCAAACCAAATGTCATCATCTAGAGCTCCAAAGATATAAACATGATTAATTCGTATTCATTTTCCATAGGTATTGTCAGAGTATTTATATCGGCAGACATTTTGTGCTATGATAGAAACTAAAAGTGTATATTCTGAGTCACTCTGAACAGATCAGACTCCATTTTGTTATTCCAAGTTAACAAAAACAAAGAGACACAGGATTTCTTTCTGTAAGACTGGCCTCTTTGCCAGAGCTAAGGAATGCATAGCATAGTATAAACAAGTGATAAGAGGAATATAATCAAATCTAAACCCAGACGATTGTGACAGAGAAGATTAAATAATTTAATTTTACTGTCTATATATATATAAGGTACCATTGTATGGAAAAGGGTAAACTTAGTTCATGATCTGTCATATCAGAAATTATGGCAGGAATTGTAGACGCATAGTCTGGACAAAACTTAAAGAACCCTTTGATCTGTGAAGGATACGTAAGTTATAGTGGTCATTTGAGATAAGCAAAATGACGTCAAAATAGCCACCAGGAAAAGTTAACTCTTTCCTGGATAGGTATGTTTAGTGGGACAAGACTGCCCTCTATAGACCAAATAACTAATTTGCGATCTGGAAGATAACCACACCTCTAGTGCTTCTATTGGGTTATCAACTGATGACGTACAGAGAGTCTGGCCCTTTAAAAGTTAAGACAAAGGGAAGACAGGGAGGCAGATCCAAGAGATATGCAAAGAAAAAGAGGAGAGAGGAATTGGAACTTTGGGCACTCCAACCTCCATGCAGAGAGAGACATCCAAATATGTTCCTGAGACTACCAATCGGATGAAATATCTACTCAACTGGTAATTATACTGGTTTCATTTAATTAAATTAAATTAATTAAAATGTATTAATAGCATTATATATGACTGGATAAAGCACGGTCAGATTTCCATATTAAGAAATCTTAGTTAACTAAAATATATATAGTTATAAACATTCCATTCTGCAGGTGGAATTAAGAATAATTATATATTGATGTGATATTATCACGTGTTAGCATACCGCTGTTTTTATCCAGGTGTATTGATTTGCTCTAAATTAAGATAGATATCTTTTAGACAAATTAAAAATCTGCTTATATAATGTGGTAGATTCTCTTATTGGATGGTTTCAGGAAATGACTAATGAACTGGGTTAAATGTTATTTTATTTAAAAATTACATAAGAATAGATCTTAACTACCTAGGAGATCTAGCCAGCATTGAAAGGGTTATTCTAACTGTCAGCTAAACTTTACGACCTTACGCTGCACTCTGAGGAATTCTGTTCTTCTGTGAAAAGTTTCACTTTCAGCCTGTGTTAAGGATAGTTATAAATAATTCTTGACAGGAAATGCTATTTAGCCATTGTAACGTAATACCCATTTCTTTGTATTGCATATAATTTTGTACTGGATATTCATTGATTATTGTTATGCATGTTACATATATTATTATTAATTAACTTGTCATTATAAATAAAAATCTATTTTTATACATTGTGATTATTTATATGAAATACTTTCCACTTAACACGATAACGATATTTGGGATCTGAGAATTGAATTAGTGGGCAATTCTCACTGTTACTATTATTATCCCATAAATATCCCCACAGTATCATTTTATGATATGGATGTACTGTTGTTGTTATTTTATGAATTAATTCACACCTAAAAATAAAAGTCAAATATATTGATGAGTAATAATTAGTGAATTGTGCAGCTCTACAAGGGCTTTAAAATTAATTGTATCGAAGAAAGCAATAACAAGCAAATCTCGTAAATGTTTATTATTATTTTTGTTTTACTGAGTCAATACACATTACATTCTGCAATTTATTTAATATGCAAACATACACATTAACACAATATGGCTACATATACATTTTGTGTCTATATTTTCATTTGAGCTCTATCCATGCAATCAATTTTCCCCACATTAATAAAAAGTGGTACAGGGTAATCCATTATCTTGTATCATGTCCACATTCATTATGTAAAAAGCAGTAACAGGTACGGGTACATTATGTAACTGTGCAGCAGTTAAGAGGTTGGAAGTGGTATTTCTGCTGGTTTTCGAGCAGAATGTGATCTGGATTCGCCAATAGGTTGTACATAGAAGAAAAAGAGAAGGATATTAGTAGAAATTCTAACTTCTTAATCATTACTAAAATTATTTATTTTATAAAGTATCAGTATATTTTGCAATACAACACCAATATTTATTTTTAACAATGTCTCAAGAGTACAGCAATACCCTTCATGTACAGACTTTATGGGGTTTACAGGGTCAAGTATGCTGCCTGACCATTTCAATTTTCATTAATTGAAATGTGACTAAATGATTTGCTAGACCTACCTCAACTATGAGACAGTATGGCATCCCAGCAATAAAAATTACCCCAGCAGTTATTCATATTTATTCCAGTAGAAATGTCTCATAAGGATGAGGTGCTTGTCCCTGTAGAACCGTATGCATTTATTTATTTATTTACTACACCCATTATCCACTACTAGGGTCAGTGCCCAAAACATTATCTATGTCAGGTCAATGGGGTCCCAGTTGTTTCTTTTAAATTGTTGTTAACCTGTATGCTGACAAGTACTGGCTGGCAAACAAATTGAATAGCTGTATGCTGTCATGAAAAGTTTAAAATAATTATTATTTGTTCACAATCTTCAAAACTTATTGTGATGCCAAGAGTTGCCATAAATGGGGGTATTTTAGGTGTGGCTACGTTTGGTGGCACCCAAATTTTATCAGACAAAGTGGGTATTATGGGCATCTGAAGCATCACTTGGGACATCTATATCATAGACTGTAAGAGTGTCACTATCAGCTATCTCAAATGTCTCACTCTCTGATTCACGCAGAATAGTAACGTGCCATGATTCAAAAGACATTTTTTAATTTTATTTTTATATTTCTACCTAACACCAACTCCCTAAGTCCAACTCCCACCCAAATTCCCACTTCCACCCAATGTCAATCCTACACCCCACAAAACAAAGAAAATTTACATTCCAACACAGTCTTTATGAGCATTTTATAAAACTTTTATGTTTATTAAATACTCTTTTTATTTGGGGGAAGGGAAGGTGAAAGAGCCGCTTGAAACAGCAAAGAGTTGGTAGATTGAACGCATTGCAAAAGTGACAAAAGGGCCTTGGTTACAAACACATCACATCTCAAAAGAGCCTTGACCCTTAAAGGGTTAAAGGAAACATCTATTCCTGACACTACACTGTAAACACGTTTGAGGTGGGCAACCCCACCTTGCCCCGTTATAAAGGGTTAAACCGCAACTTTATTCCAGTGATACACGGGTCCGCCGCGGCTGGGCCCACCCCCGCTCCGCCTCCTTGGCTGATATTATCAAAACTGACTATCTCAACCAATCCAATATTACTCCTGCCAACCATGTAATACTGCCCTGAGAATGTTGCTAGTTACTAAAAGTTCGTATTGCCAAACCTAGCAAGTATCTGGCAAGAGTAAAATTAACAAATGCCAAAATGTCTTTTATATAAAATACAATAATTAAGATTTTGTGAACATGATTTATTATTATTATTATTAGTATTAATATATTCATTCATGTGGAAAATGTAACTGTTGACAAATTAAATAAACTTGCCTTTGTATGGACATTTTATCAGTGGTGGTGATGGTGACCATGGTGGCCATGGTGGTGATGGTGGCCAAAAAGTTTACCAAGAAGTCCATGATGACCATGATGTCCATGATGACAGGGGTGGCCAGTTGAGCAGGGAGGATTACCAATACACACATAGCCAGCTACTGGAGGAGGCGGTGCTGGATATCCTGGTTGAGCATAGGGTGGTGGAGGCACTGGATAGGTCCCGGGAGGAGGAGCATAGGCTGGAGGTGGTCCATAATAGGTACCTGATGGAAAAAAAGTCCAAGTAGTAAGAAAAAAGAAGGCGATCTCTCACTATCCATAGTGTTCTATACAGTGCAGAACATATATGCGACATGCATCCTATTTCACAAAACACAATTATATATAGACAAAACAAAAATATGCACAAATATTCTATATGCAGCAGAAAATGGGTAAAATTTAATATTTTTCTTAATGTAAATTTAAGAACCTTGAAGATATTAAAAAAAAAGTCAGCTGGAGTGATTCACTAGGGTGTGAATCTGGCATTGAATTGAAAATTTTAGGAAAAAAAGATCTTGAATTTGACCCAAAACTACAGTTCAGTTATTTGCCAAACACAATTTCAGATTTGGTTTTGTAAATCTCAGAGGGTGGTAAATTAAGTTAGCTCAATGAAGAAGCCTACATGTACGTGGGTTGTACTCCTTCACAACCAAAACAAAAAATGTTGATGCAAAATATGCCCTTTGCATAATCTGGGCAGCTATGATTGCAGCATTTTGATTCATGATTACACAACAAACGTCTGCCCAAGCGCTGATCACAGGTTCTCACAACATGAACAAGCATACATAATGTGAGGTACTTATGCAGAATCTATTTAAAATACTGCTTTAAATATTTAACTTAATTGTTTTGTCCATACATGAGAATCAGCAGAAATGTACGTTTATGCCATTAAACATTAACCCAACCACCATGACCATTTTGGCATTTTGAAGTGGTCATGGTGGTAGGAGTCTGTATTTGCAGCAGTTTAGCTTCAAATGCTGCACATGCAAAGGTATTGGCACTTGTGACTTAGGCTGCATAGAACCCTCTTGTCAATTCTGTACATATTTTACGTCTGTATATTTTTTTCAAACTTTTTCCCTCCCCTGTTTTTACCCCCAACTTCCTCTTTTCCCTCATCGCCCCAGAGTGTGCACATGTGCTCTGAAATCACAGGCTTCTCTATGACCTAGTAGCAATGCACAATAGGGCATGTAAGCTTAAAAGAAGACATTGGTTAAGGGTTCCAATACCTTTTTAAGCAGTGTGCTATCTACTAAAACAAACAAAAAATAAAACAATGTCCCTGTTCCTTTCCAGAGTACAAACAATCCAGTTTCTGTTGATAATTGTTTCGCATTTGCTTGGCTGTGAAGGGGTTACCATAGAGATTTGTCTATTTACAGTAACTTGTGGTAAGTGGCCAATTGACTTGGAAAATGTGTGGCAAAAGAATTTTGTTGAAAAAAAAAATCTGGTACGTGGCTCAAAGTTACAAAGTCGTTTATCACATTTTAATATAGTTCAGCATCCAAAGTTATTCTCTATATAGTAAATTGACTTTAATTAAACAGAGACATTTTACTCCAAAACTGGTGAACTGAAAAAATTATGTCAGCTATTTTTTTCTGCTCAGCTAATTTAGCTTATAATCTTCAATTTCATGGTCAATTCCAGACTATTAGTGAATTACACTGAGTATTTTTAAATTAGAAAATCCTTAAAATGATTGGGATTCATTTGCTAAACAGTGAATTGTAAGAATTGAAAATTGAATTACAAAAAGTACGTAAAAGCTGAATTGTACACTTTTTTCAATTCACCTAATGTAGCCTGAATTTTGCAGTTTGGTTCATAATTCCTGATAATTCACTATTTACTGGATAAACCCATGTATGTAGTAGGTGGGACTCTGAATGAGCACTGAATAATTCTTTAGATAATTTTCTAAAGATAAAGTGTAACTTTAATGTAAAAGAATCAACTCAGCAATAAAATTATAAAAACAAATGTAATAAATGAGGAAGGGAATGTGTTTATGTCTTGTATATATCACATTGTTCCATTTTTTATTAAAGGGACACTATAGTCACCAGAACAACGACAGCTTATTAAATTTGTTCTGGTGAGTAGAATCATTACCTTCAGGCTTTTTGCTGTAAACACTGTCTTTTCAGAGAAAAAGCAGTGTTTACACTACAGCCTAGTGATAACTTCACTGGCCACTCCTCAGATGGCTGTTACAGATCCTTCCTGGGGCATGGCTGCCTAAAATGCATCCACACATTCAGGGCCGTCTTTAATAACGAATGGACCCTGGGCAAGTGTTTGCTTGGGCCCCCCGTGCCCTGCCGCTCTCGCCCCTCACTCCCTGGTATGCAATCACGGCATCCATCCCAACGCAGTGGCGGTACTAAAGTAGAATGAATTTTATTGGGACCCCCAATTGCAAGGTTGGACTAAAGGTAGAACCCCATCTGTCGTGCAACTCCAACAATGCTTTGACAGCTGGGACTCTACCAATTTCCCATGCTTGCAGGGTTGTATTTAGCACTGAGCCATGTTAGTATGTTTGAATGTAAGCATGTGTTTGTATGGAGTATGTTTGTGTGAATGTGTTTGTATGTGGTACTGGAGTTTGAATGCAAGTGTGCATTTATGTGTAGTGTTTGTTTTTGAATGTAGGAGTGTGCTTGTATGTAGTGTTGACGTTTCAATGCAGGAGTGTGTTTTATATGTAGTGTTGAAGTTTGAATGGAGGGGTGTATTTGTATTTAAAGTTGCGGCTCAGATGCACAGGTACACACTCTGACGCACAAGCAGATACACAGATACATACACTGACTACATACAGATAAACAGGCACATACACTGACAGACACACTGACACAGGTACATATATTGACACACACACAGACACATACACTGGTAGACGTACTGACAGACATACTGACACAGGCACATATACAGACATACTGACACACAGACACATATACCGACATACTGACACACACACACAGACACATACACTGATCAACATACTGACACACATACACTGACAGAAATACTGACACCCACACACTGACAGATATACTGACACCCACATACACTGAGAAATACTGACACACACACACAGGCACATACACTGACACACACAGACTGATATACTGACACACACACACACAGACATACTGGCACACAGACAGATATACTGACACATGCATACACATGCACTAACAGACATACTGACGCACTGACAGACATACTGACACATACACATACTGACACACACAGATATACACACACATATATACTGACACACAGACAGACATACTGACACACACACAGACATGCTGACACACACACACATACACCTAACACACACACACTAACACACAAACACACACACTAACATACACTACACACACATACACTAACACACATACACACAAACACACACACACTAACATACACTAACACACACATACACTAACACACACATACACTAACACACACATACACTAACACACACATACACACACACACACATACATACACACAAACACTAACACACAAACACACACACTAACACACATAAACACACACATACATACACTAACACATACATACACTAACACACACATACACTAACACACACAAACACACACACACATACACTAACACACACAAACACACACATACATACACTAACACACACACACAAACACACACATACACACACACACACACATTTTTTTTTAAAAATGTAATCCCCCCAGCCTCCTTACCTTGTGGAGTGCTGGGGGGATTCCCTGGGGTCCAGTGGTGCTGCTGGGCTCCTGGGCGGGTGGCCGGTCGGGCAGGCAGGCGCGCGCGCGAGGGAGCACTCACTGCTTCCTCTTCAGCTCCCTCGCGCGCCGCGTAGGGATGCCGGCGCCGGAAGATGACGTCATCTTCGGCTCCGGCACCATCAGTGCGGGGCGAAAGCAGTAATCTTTGCCTGGCCCGCCGGCCACTCCCTCAGCGGGGAGGGCCTCGGCGGGCAGTGCGAGGCCGGGGCCCCAGCTGCCTGGGCGGGGCGTGCCCGTTGAGCGTTAAAGCACACACATTCAGTGTCTCCTCCCTCTGCATGCAGACACTGAACTTTCCTCATAGAGATTCATTGATTCAATTCATCTCTATGAGGAGATGCTGATTGGCCAGGGCTGTGTTTGAATCATGCTGGCTCTGCCCCTGATCTGCCTCTTTGTCAGTCTCTGCCAATCCTATGGGGAAGCATTGTGATTGGATCAGGCTACCACTTCTGATGATGTCAGCAGACAGGTTTTGACTATTGACTACAGGCATACCCCGCTTTACATACACTCACTTTACATACACTCGCGAGTACAGACATACCATCGAGTGTACTTAAAAGGGGCCCAGGGGGGCTAGATGGTGTTTTTAACACTATAGGGTCAGGAATACATGTTTTTGTTCCTGACCCTATAGTGATCCTTTAAACATTTTGACCTCTAACTTTAACGAATGTGAATGCTACCTTGACATTGAAAAATTATTATTATAACATTTACTGGTGGCTTGTCCATATGATCCCCACCAGTTTTTATGTGGAAACAAGATTATTGACAGCAGATTTTTTGGGGGGTAGGGAGTTAAGCTAAGGAAAAAAGTAGATTAATCTACTCGAGTCATAGTCCATGTGTCTGCCAAAATAAAATTAAAATAAACTGTGTCTCTTTAATAGGTTTCAGTTCTAGTAATGCATACTGAGGTTCTAATACCACAGCATGCAGATTAACATCTGTTGATTATAGTATCATTTATCAACATCCCGATAGTTTAGCCTTATACCTACCTACCTAAAATGGAGTGAATATGTATCGGGAAAACAAAAAGTCCCACATACTTTAACCCCTTAAGGACACATGACATGACATGACTTGCCATGATTCCCTTTTATTCCAGAAGTTTGGTCCTTAAGGGGTTAAGACCATAAACTGGGTGTTAACTTAGTAAGTTAATTCCCATCACAAGAACTCTATTGTAACAATTAATGTGAAATTGTTGCATAGTGTTTCAGGTCGCTATGTTGTTTTACGAATGAACCACAAGAGGTGCTAGAGAATTATATAGAAATACAGTAAGTCTACCATTTTTATCAGCTAGTTGGAGTAGAATTTCCCGTTTGTTGTTCACTTTTTTTTGTTTGTTGTGTTACCATTATTAAACAATAAAGATTTACTGAATTTTCAAATTATAATTTTCCTTTTGTGTCTGAACTGGCTTTTTGATGGGTGAGACTTTGGTAACACTAAGTTTAGGTTCTGCAGGGTCCCACAGCCATCACTGTGACAGCTGTGGAGAAAAAAGCATTGTCTATGGAGGCTCCCATAGGATTCTCCACAGATTTCTGTGTTGTACTCTCAAGTATGCTCGAGAATACAGAACTGATGCGGGTTCCTGGCAGACGAAGCCCCGGAAGCTGAAGAAGATCCACCATATGAAGATGGCGGCAGCCACAAGGGACATCTTCAGGTTGGTAAAACTTGCCTTCCTATGCACCTCAGGCAGTGATGTCACCATCTGGGGGTCTATGCAAAACATGTAAAGACACCAGATGGTGACAGAGCCACTTTAAGAAGAAATTTCAGGGTCCTCCCATTTTCATTTGGACACCTGAGCCAGCTGCCAATTAGTAAATGCATGGTACTTGCCTATTTATTAATGGGCCATCATTGGCTCATAGCACCAGGGGTGGGGAACAGTCCCCACAGGATAGGGAGACAAGAAGCCATCTTGGAAGGAGCATAGAGAGAGCACAGCAGCAGCTCCTGTTCCCTGTCCAAAGCAAGTGTATAATATTATTATGATATTATCTTTTTATCTCCACCAACAGCCACAGTGACTCAAGTCTGATTAAGCAAGGGAAAATGGCAGACATTTGTGACAGACAGGTCTGGTAATTAACTCCTACTGCACATTGCATAGTATAAGCCCAGCTGTCCAGTGCCCGCCATCTTATTTAAACAGTTCAGTGCTCTGTAGCTGAGACCCGAGACACTCGCAATGTGGTTAGTTGGAAAGTTGTGAATATCCACATTGTTAAAACAGCAGGATAATAATATTTTCCTTATACCCTTGTAGTTGTCAAATGATCAATCCACAATGATTATATTGAGTCAGGAGTAGCTGACATGTTTCATAGCAACAGCAACATGTGCTAGAAAGATAACATTTTAAACTTACTCATTTATAGCACTATTATGTATTATGGTATTTTGGTATTGTACTCATCTCTGTGTATCATTATTATTAGTATCAGCATTTATATTGTGTCAACATATTCCTTTACAATTATAGAATAGGGATATTTGACAACAAGTAATTTGCATACTGATTATAACCGAGACAAGGGGTGAAGGCCCTGTTTAAACAAGCATATAATCTATGATATAGGTATTTCTGTATTGTACCAAGATCTAAGTATGATATGAATATCTCTGTATTCTTCTTAGTTCTGTGTATTGTAAAGGTGTCTCTGTCTTGTACATAGCTTTGAGTATTGGCTATCTCTTTATGATGTCTAGCTCTGAGTAATATATGCTTCTCGGTATTCTATGCAGCTCTGTATATTCTTGACAAACAAAAGTCGTAAAAAGTGGATATTGAGAATTTCTATAGGAATGGTTTTGTTCTTTATTATATGTTGTGCAAAACTTCAAAAACAATATGATTTTATGAAAAGCCAACATCTCACTAATAGTGTGAAGTCTACATGGTCAAAGCAGGTCAGAGCCAATAAATGAGATGTGAGCTAGCACTTACCTTGATTTGGATTCCACATGATGAAGAGTCCTGGAGAAAAAAAAGAGAGAAACATGTCAAAATATAGATTTATATTTGTAAATAAATAGACAGATAGAAGGATAAAGAAAAGTGTTATTAAATGGATAGTCCAGGACCCATCTGAAAAGTCTGTAGTCCACTCTACCACATCACAAGTTCTTTCTGTAGTGGTTACGGCATTAGGAGGGTCCTGCACCTCCGCAATGTAAGTAGTCAGATTATTTTTAGAATGGTTTGACTCCTTACTTGCATCACTTATTGCCTCACTGCATCCTATGGAAAATTGGAAGCTGTCTATCTGAGTTAAGCTCACCAGTGCTTAGCTCAACTGACAACGATAAGCTGCAGTTCTCAGCCAGTGAGCTAGCTCTGCATTGCAAGGCTTAGCTTAGGAGAGCTAACAGAAGTTCCTGTTTAGGAGTTTCCTGCCTTCCATAAAAAGTAATGGAAGTGGGGAGTGCCATCCAGGGAACCGCAAGTAAGAAGTAAAACTGTGAGCAAATGGTTTGACTACTTACAATTGGGAGCAACAGGGCACTCCTGGCACCATAACTACTGCAGCAAACTATAGCAGTTATGGTGCATAGAATGTTCCATTGCATGTTATTTATTTTAATGCGTTTTTTGCCCTACAAGAACAAATGTTTCACGTTTTTTATATTTTCATTATAACAAAAATAAAATTTAAAAAGTACATTATAGACCTCTCTTGCTGCAGAATTAATTCTGCACATTATTAACACAATTTTACAATCTTGCACTCAAAAGCCTTCACAAATCAAAACTTCATCTGAATGTCTTCTCAATCTAGGCCAGGCATAGGCAACCTTCGGCACTCCAGATGTTTTGGACTACACCGCCCATGATACTTTGCCAGCATTACGGGTGTAAGAGAATTATGGGGGATGTAACCCAAAACATCTGGAATGCCGAAGGTTGCCTATCCCTGATCTAGGCCATAGGTGTCCAACCTTTTGTCTTCCCTGGCCGCATTGAGCATAGAGGAATTGTCTTGGGCCACACATAAAATCTATAATATAATTAATTAATATAATAATACTTGAAAACCCCTTTTTATTAATTTTGTTTAGTACATAGCTCCCTTATTTGTTATCCTTATGTGGAATTGCCATATTTAAGGATACCAAATTAGAGAGCTATCTACTAAATATATACACATGTATATGCACACATAACCACATATACACACACACAATCACATAAACACACACACACATACACTCACAGACACACACATGCACTCACAGACCCATGTGCACAAAAACAAATATATATACACACAATCACAGATCCACACACACACACACAATCACTGACCTATACACAATCACATATGCACACATGATCACGTCTATATACACACAGACACACACACAATCACAGACCTATACACTCAATCACATACATACACACAATCACAGACCTACACACATATCCAATCACGTACCAATACACACAATTACAATTACACACAAAATCACAGACCTATACACACAGTCACATACATACACACACACACAATCACAGACTCACACACACAATCACAGAACTATTCGCGCAATCACATACATGCACACACAATCAGACCCACACACACAATCAGAGATGTACACACAAAATCACAAACCCACACACATAATCACTGACTTACACAAACACAATCACAGACATACACACAGACCCCCCACCACACACACACACAATCACTGACAAATCATACACAAAAATGTAATTCATCACTGTGCCATGTAGTGTGCGGATATATATATATATATATATATATATATACACACACACAAGCTCACTACATACCAGCTCACTGACACACACATACTCACTATAGACAAGCTCACTTATACACACATGCTCATTACATATAAGCTCACTTACACACATACTCTCTACAGACAAGCTGAGACACAAACATAAATTGTACAGCGCTACGGAATCTGATGGCGCTATATAAATAATAAAATAATAATAATAATAAAAGCTCACTCACTAGCAAGCACATACATACAAGGTCACTGACAAATTAGCTGAAGCTTACCTGGCACTGAAGACTGTGGGAGCTTTTTTTTTACCTCTTCCTGCTCATGTGTGGGCGTGGCTTATAATCAGGAGGCGGAGCTTGCATGCGGGGGTGGAGCATGGACACGGAATTGCCAAAAATGGTGAAAGGGAGCCTCACAGTGCTCCCTCTAGCCGCCAGCACACCATTCATTAATCCCCTCGGCCTGACACAGGCCGTCACAGTCCGAGGGAAAAATTATTTCAATGGCATTTTTTTTATTTTTAGAGCTGTCAGCCTGGGTGGGCCAATCCAGTCCCTTTCCACCCACAGTGCAACCGGCCGCATGTGGCCCGCAGGCCGGGGGTTGGACATCAGTGATCTAGGCCCTCAATTACACCTCCATTGTCTTGTACCTAATAGACTTGTGCACAAATGTGCTTCAGCTGGTACAAATTAGTTAAATTACTTTAAGTCTATGCCCGAACAAATTGATCCATTCAGGATTTACCTGTGGAGTCTTCTTCAATCAATAAGACTCCTTTGGTAAATTGCAGACGGATCAATTCTTTCAGGCAGAGGATAAATGGCATTTCATAGTTCCTCATTTTTATATAGTTCAGCTGGTCGGTTTGTTTACAATATTTGGAAAAATGGTTTATTCCAAAGTTGTTGTTTTTATTTTTTGTTTTATAACCTTGAAAAAAAAATCATATTCCAATGAAAACCGAAACTGAATTACCATATGGCAGTAATTTATTTATTCTTCAATTTTCTGAGGAACCCCTAATAAGCCACCAAGGAAATCCATCTGCCAAGCACTACACAGTTTATATATTAACACCACCTGTATGACGCTTCCCAGGAAACTCTCAGCCCTTGATTTGATACAGTATATTCTGCTTACACAGAACAAGTTTTTAACATTTAAGCCGAAATGTTAGCAGTTTGTAATAAGTCATGCACACTTGAAATGTAGACGGCAGCATAAGTCCTAAAACAAAATAGATCTCCAATTCAATAAAGCTTACTTAGTAAATATTTTATCTAGTAACCTCTACACAGGCATAAAGGAGCTACCTCCAACTGCACAAACATCAGTTTCGAAGAAACACGTTTTACAAGTTAAGCAACCACACACAGTTTGTTTGTTAGTACATTTCATTATGTAAGATCCAACATTATTTTTAATGACCGCAATTAATTATACAATGGATCATATTATAATACTAGCTAATTATACACAATGCAAATATATAATTATTCTGATAAACTGCAATGTTTGCACTATTATACTCTCCTATACTACCATTATTTAACCTGTCCGTGCTGGAAAAGGTACATTCAGCAGATTGGCTGTGATAAAGCTGCCGAGTGTCCTGGTATAGTGTGCAATGACCAACATACATAAATAACTTTTTGAATAGTCTTAAAATTATTACGTATTATTTATTATGGATTATTTATTTAGTAATCTGAAAATTGGGAAAATGACCTAATTTTACCTTCGCTATATATGTTTTTGTTGTGAGTTGGGTTGGATGCTGTTAGGTGCGGCTGTTTTGTGTTAGTGTGACTTGTGATTTATGGGAGGATATTTGTGAACACAGTAGCATGAGTAGAAATCACAGGACTTCATGATTGGGGCTGCATGACTAAATATGAAGCATACTTGATTTATAAAGTGTTGATAGAACAACATACAAAACAAAAGACAGAACGCCAGATACATACATATAAGCATACTTAAAGAGTGTTTATATATAGACCTGTTGTACAGCGTTACAGAATTTTTGCCACTTTATAAATTAATAATAATAATTAAGGCTAAAATAGGCGAATTGGAAAACAAATCAACAACTTTTCCAACTTGGCTGTATTGCATTGCATGTTGAAACTTAGTTGCCAAGTTATCACAATAATACATATTAAGCAGTTTGTGTATATATACTGTATGCATATCTACAAATCATATAAGATAATAAAAAACACATTTAGCAAATTTGTATTATAACTTTTTAACTAGCTAATTAGGCTACAAATGTTTAGGGTTATGAGTTTAACCTAGGTGATCGGTAACGAAATTGCTAAAACATTAAAACACCTGCTGTCTCTTACTATCTAATTGTATGTATGGATAATTAGAGACAGAAATATATTTTATCTTCCCATTCACACAATGTCTATATTACATTTGGTTGGAGATGTAGAACATAAAATTGGAAAATATAGCAATATAAATGGCATTCTTGGCACAAATATAATAATCCAGTGACAGTAGCAGTCTGAAATAAAGTGACACAAATAATGTATATGAATGGAGTAATTCTATATACATACCGCACACTGGAGCCTTGCAGAAGAAATGTTATGTGCTCGAAGTAGCTTAACACATTGATATCTAAGGACGTGGATAAGTACGTAGTTCTGTGTTGGGATAAATACAAAGGCGGGGAAAAGGGCTGGACAAATTCATGAATTACCTAGACTTCAAACATGATCTTGTTATTTTTAGTCAACAAAAACTCACCTTTAGAATGACTCAACGTACACCTCTTCAAGTAGCACAATGACAAAGTAATACAACCAAAAAAATTGGAAACAGAAACATTTTATAATTATAATTATTGCTATTGCACATACTGTGCACAGTTCCTCCTTGGACATACCAGTAGTATTTAGAGGTTGTTATTTCAGGCAGGATTTACAGGGTTACTCTAATGATAAAAAAAAATTCTACAATAAGCTTTAAGCTTTAAGTTTCAAAATCCTTAAGCATGTTTTATTCAAATTTGTAACTGTTATCTAAAAGGGACTAGAGTGCATTATCAGAGGAGGCCCAAGATTAGTCTAGTTAGGCATCTACCTAAGGCTTTGTTCACATTGGGGTTTCCCTCCATTGGGAAGAACGACTACACACAGGCTTCTTAACAGTCCTGCTTTTGATGGGACAGTCCCGATTTTAATGTTCTGTTCAGCCATCATGCTTTAGTTCCTGGGTGTCCCGCAACTGGAGACACCCGGAAGCTGTCCACTGGCAGCTCAGAGCGAGCTCATCCTCAAACTTGCTCATGGTGCAGGTACTAGAACAATACAGAGAGCACTACCGCAGCATTTCCTGCATGTTCCCGAAGCTTGGGCGATGGTCTGGCAACCTGTCAGTAGGCGGGCATTTTCTAGGTGGGTCTTCCCATCATAGGTGTCACTAGCGTTGCCCCCCGGGGACTTGCCTACCTCATCCTGATTGTTGGGGATAATTACATGGACTCTTGACCACGGATTCCCAGTGTGCCCTAGTCTCCCAGTGTCCCCATGTCTCCCAGCCAGTGTCCCTAGTGTTTCCGTGTCCCCATGTCTCCCAGTGTCCCCAAGTGTCTCAGTGTCCCATGGTCTCCCAGTGTCCCTAGTGTCTCACTGTCCCCATGTCTCTCAGTGTCCCCATGTCTCAGTGTTTCCAAGTGCCCCCATGTCTCCCAATTGTGACAAACGCTCTTTCCCACGAACATTTGCCACGGACTCCTGGAGGAGTGTGGAAGCCAGCCTCCTGCCCACCGAGGTCTGGGACACAGTTTGGGAGTTACCCTTCCCAGCCACCATTGGTAGCTTTCCCTGGGTGCCCCTGGATTATGTGAATGGAACCGAACGCTAGCTCCCTGGCAGCTGTTCATATGAACCAAACCCATGAATAGTCCTCAGCAGTACTTAGTCATGACCGCTATGGAACTCATTTCGGCATGAGAACTTTGTGGGTTTCCGATCACCTCAGTAGTACTTAGCCGTGAATGTTATGGAACTGTTTTCGGGATGAGGTGACCGTGCGGTTCCCAGACAACTTGGTCCGGCGTTTTGAACCATTTTGAAATCAGCCAAGAGAGTGCATTTTGGATGGAAGGTGCCTGAAAATAGGTGGAAAAAATGCTACGTGAGGGCCAGATGGAGCACCCCATATTTCAGATAAAGGGGCTTCCGAAAGTTGACTGGCAAAAGCACCAAACCCCCTGGAACTATTTTGGGGATACAGTGAGGGAAAAAAGTACTTGATCCCCTGCTGATTTTGAATGTTTGCCCACTGGCAAAGAAATGATCAGTCTATAATTTTAATGGTAGGTATATTTTAACAGTGAAAGACAGAATAAAAAAAAAATCCAGAAAAATGCATGTCAAAAAAGCTATAAATTGATTTGCATGTCAATGAGTGAAATAAGTATTTGACCCCTTCAACTTAGTACTTGGTGGCAAAAACCTTGTTGGCAATCACAGAGGTCAGATGTTTCTTGTACCCGGCCACCAGGTTTGCACACATCTCAGGAGGGATTTTGTCCCACTCCTGTTTGCAGATCCTATCCAAGTCATTAATGTTTCGAGGCTGACGTTTGGCAACTCAAACCCTTAGCACCCTCCACAGATTTTCTATGGGATTAAGGTCTGGAGACTGGCTAGGCCACTCCAGGACCTTAATGTGCTTCTTCTTCTTGAGCCACTCATTTGTTGCCTTGGCTGGGTGTTTTGGGTCATTGCCATGCTGGAATTCCCATCCACAGCCCTGGCTGAGAGTAGGCTGTTCTCACCAAAGATTTGACAGTACATGGCCCCATCCATCGTCCCTTTGATGCAGTGTAGTTGTCCTGTCCCCTTAGCAGAAAAACACCCCCAAAGCATAATGTTTCCACCTCCATGTTTGACGGTGGGGATGGTGTTCTTGGGGTTATAGGCAGCATTCCTCCTCCTCCAAACACGGTGAGTTGAGTTGATGCCAAAGAGCTTGATTTTGGTCTCATCTGGCCACAACACTTTAACACAGTTCTCCTCTGAGTCATTCAGATGTTCATTGGCAAACTTCAGATGGACCTGTATATGTGCTTTCTTAAGCAAGGGGACCTTGCGGGCATTGCAGGATTCCAGTCCTTCACAGTGTAGTGTTTTACCAATTGTTTTCTTGGTGACTATGGTCCCAGCTTCCTTGAGATAATTAACAAGATCCTCCCATGTAGTTCTGGGCTGATTCCTCACCGTTCTCATTATCATTAAAACTCCATGAGGTGAGATCTTGCATGAAGCACCAGACTGAAGGAGACTGACAGTTATTTTGTGTTTCTTCCATTTGCGAATAATTGCACCAACTGTTGTCACCTTCTCACCAAGCTGCTTGGCAATGGTCTTGTAGCCCATTCCAGCCTTGTGTAGGTCTACAATCTTGTTCCTGACATCCTTGGACAGCTCCTTGGTCTTGGCCATTGTAGAGAGTTTTCTTGTTCCCATGTGTCTTTTATACAGGTAACGACCTGAGATTAGGAGCACTCCTTTTAAGAGAGTGCTCCTAATCTCAGCTCGTTCCCTGTGTAAAAGACACATGGGAGCCAGAAATCTTGCTGATTGATAGGGGATCAAATACTTATTTCACTCATTGACATGCAAATCAATTTATAACTTTTTTGGTATGCGTTTTTCTAGATTTTTATTTTTGTTATTCTGTCTCTCACTGTTAAAATGCACCTACCATTAAAATTATGGACTGTTCATTTCTTTGTCAGTGGACAAACATTCAAAATCAGCAGGGGGTCAAATATTTTTTTCCCTCACTGTAGGGTGCCCACGTGTGCGGCCGGTCAGAACTTTAACACAGTGGCGTTTCCCCTACACTGCATGGATCTGATCGCTATTTGGAGAACCTGGGCTCTCAGATTAGGGCTGTTTGGAGATGTATTATTTGTGAGGTTATTGTTTATAGTTTTATGATGTTTTAGGGGTATTTTATGTTTTTGTGTCTCTTTGTTCCTGGGAGAAAATTAGCTCACCTGTCTTTAATGCAATTATCTCCCAGGCCCAGAGATTCCTTGGAGGGGCTTGTGTTGAATACAATGGAGACCACCTGCTGGGCTCACTGCATAAAAGGCTGAGTTTGGCTCATTAAAATCAGTTGTACTCCCAGAACTAGTTACTGGGTGAGGAAAGGGCTCAGCACCTTGTTCCAGCTCGTGGAGGATTCAACAAAGAAAGTCCTTTATAAGGACTACAACTCACTGTGTGTTGTCCAGTCCCTGGGAGGGAAAAGAGCTAGTCCCCTATCCTGTTCCAGGATGGAAAGGCTCCAGGAGGGCCCCAGTGAAGCTACGGCGACTGGGGCAGAAGCACTGAGGTTTTTCCCCGGTTCCAGCTGGGAAGCAATCCTGGGCGGAGGTACCCAGCTGGGGTACAGGGAACTCAGCTACACCAGTGTTCCCAAGTGTCTCAGTGCCCCCATGTCTTCCAGTGTCCCCAGGTCTCCCAGTGTCCCCTGGTGTCTCAGAATACCCATGTCTCTCAGTGTCCCCTAGTGTCCTAGTGACATGGGGACTCTGGGAGACATGGGGACACAGAAACTAGGGGACACTGGGAGACATGGGGACACTGAAACACTAGGGGACACTGAGAGACATTGGGAGACATGGAGACACGAGGAGACATTGGGGTACATGGGGAACTGAGACAATGTGATACATATGAACACTGTGATACATAGGGGACACTGGGAGACCTGGGGACACTGAAAGACTAGGGGACACTGTGAGACTAGGGTACAAGGAAACTAAGAGATACAGACACTGGGCGACATGGGGACGCTAGGGGACACTGGGAGACATGGGGACACTTAGACACTGTGATACATAGGGACTATGGGAGACCTGGGAGACTGAGACACAGGGAGACTGGGAGATACTGGGAGCAATCCATCTATACACCAGATTTAAACTGAAACCAGTTTTTGGGTGATTTTACTGAATTTTCTCTTATGTCACTCTTTGTGATTTACATCATGTGATGTCATACATACATAATTAATTATGCAAATTAGCAAGGCCGGTATTTTTTCCAAGAAAGGTGGCAACCCTAACTACTCTTCACATACTCTTGCTTAAGTATGGAAGCTTAAGAAGGATGTATGGGAACAAAACTTGTGTGGACTGGCTGACAATGAAATTAGTTAAGGTAATGCTGACTTTGGTCTCTCTAACACCGTGGCATTTCCCCTTTCTTCTACACTCAGTACATACACCTTTTCTCTGTCACAGACTATATGCCAGGAGCTTCTGCCTGCTAGTAAGGAGGTAAGTAGACAAGTGGACGTACGAGTGCTAGGGGACGCTCCTTGGAAAGCATGGAGCGAGCGCATCATTGAACGCAATTATACGAAGCTCAGGCTGCTGTCTGCATAGTATGCTCTTAGTTGGCCAACATGATTGGCAGGCAGCCTGAAATGCATTCACACATGGCTGGCCTTCCTTTTTGGACATGTTCTCCCCTTTTGGTGGATCTGGTTACGTGATTCGCGTCAGTGGCACATCCATTTACCCTGCCCATGGACTTCCTGCTTCACTGGACACTGCTGTCAGGGGGTATGAATTTACTTATAAGATGAAATTGAGAGATAAGCATAGGGTATATGTGTTTTTATAGCTGCATCCTCTGAGTTTCCCTCCAGCACCATCTCAATCAGATACATGATGCTTGGGAGGTATGACTGTTTTATTGTTTTTGGTCGATAAGATTCTGTAATTAGGCCCATCATAATTGTCAGCACCAGGCCCACTGGGCTCTTAATCTGGCCCTGCTCTCCAGATCCGACAAGGTATATAGTCTTACTTTAGTAGGCATCATACCAGGTAACATGTGTTGCTGTTTGATTGAAAGGATGTGTTTGTATGCAGTGTTGATGTTTGAATGTGTATGCGGAGATCTACACAGATGCACACACACATACTCACACTGTCAAACACACATTTACCTTTACTGACACACACACACAGATACACATACACACTGACATACACATACCCACACACAGCTACACATAAACCCCATACCCATTGACACACACACAAGTCTCAATTTACATATTTTTAGCCACCCCCCTGCTTCCATACCTTTTGGATGAAGGAGGGTAACTTCCTAGGCTTGCTGAGGCTGATGACCTGTCCAGGCTCTCTGTCTGCAGTGCACTCCGGCCTCCCTCTTTGTGTCGGCCATCTTGGGAAAGCATGACTGGCAGGCAAACCTGATCACATATTTTAGATACATCGACGACCTGTTTTTTATTTGGGAGGGCTCTGAAAATTCCCTTAACCATTTTTTACAACACTTAAATCGTAATAATAACAGTATTGATTTAACGTGGGAATACAGTCAATCTTTTATTCATTTTTTAGATTTGGAAATTTTCTATCCAAAATAATCAGGTGAATACAAAAACCTTTTTTTAAAAAGTGTGTACCAACAATGTAATTGATATGTCCAGTTGTCACTACAATCCCTGGCTTAATGGAATATTGAAAAGTCAGTTCCTCCGTCTCCGGAGAAATTGTTTTCATACCCAGGACTTTGAAAACAGTCACAAACTCTTTTAAAGAAATTTTTTTTTAATTAAATTCTTTATTTTTGGTATGCGGTAAAGTACAACAGTGCCTGTATCGCCACAACAGCTGTAGCAGGCTCAATGATCATAGGTATAACAGGTGTGTGGCTAGTTAGGTTTGCATGCATTTTTAAGGTAATAGAAGAAAACAGTTAGGTATACGTCAAGCTGGTTCACCATGGCTAGCTATGCAATAACCAGAAGACAAAGCAAGAGCATGTAATGTGTTGGGGCAATAAAATGAGCAGTATTGCTGACAATTTTAAAAGCTAGACATGTTGGGTGCTAGTGAAGCGTAAACAAGGCATGGTATAGATGAGACATAATAGTTTGTGACCCCTAGGGTCTATTTCACGCTGCAGCTCTCAAAATGGTAGTGGAGAGACATTTTATATGCTCATATATGAAGAAAAGATTGTGTTTTATATGACAATATGGACCTTTCTGTGCAGTTTTATAACATGTTAGACATATCAAGCTAGGTACACCTCCCAAGTACACATTAGCAGTAAATACATTCGGCTAGGGTTGCTGGCTATTCTGGCATACCTCGCTATAAGATACAGAGCAAGCCTGTCCTAACGATCTCAGGTACATTAGTTAAGTGTGCACTAGAACTGCAGTTGGGTTTATATATTAAGGCCTGTAGGCATAGGACTAGGTAAACTAGGGTCTGTAGTAGACCTTGCTATTCAGAAGTAAGTGTAAGAATCAAAACCGAAGAAACAAAGTAAATGTTATATGTCATCAGACATTCGTGAGAGTTCCAGTGGGGCAAAGAGAGTTATGTGTCTGATGATACCATGCCTGGTCCTAGTCCATTCGGGTCAGCCGATGCCTTGGCGGGGCTGGGTAACTACCTGCGGTAGGTGGTGCCGCTGGTGTGATCCCCTCGGCGTGTGGATGCTGGTATCCCCTGGGTTATTCTGAGTTGCTGTGTGTGCTGGGTGTAGTTCCAACCATGCTGTGTGTCGGGTCATCTGCCGTTGGGGTTGTGTTGCTGTTTTTCCCTGTCTAACATCCCGTGGGGTACCCTGTGGCAAAGTCTGGAGCACTGAGCCAGCACATAGCATGCTGCACTTCGTGGCGCTATGTGAGTGAGGCAAATGACTCCTCCGTCCCCAGTATTTTGTGGTATGTAGCTGCAGCGAGCCATGAGCTCTGGCGCTCTCTGGGGAGACCTTGTGGTGTCTTGGATGCAGGTTTACTCTTCTGCCCCGGAACTGTAGTAGAACTGGTGCCCATTTGCCACGAGCCTGGGTTCCTTTGTGGCCCAGGGTCGTCCCTGTCGGGATGGTGCGGCGGGCCTTAATCGTGGGTCGTTGTGGCTTTTGTTTGACCGTCCTCCGCCGGTGTGGTAGGCACTTGTGGGGTGCTCCCTCTGTTGCTCTCTGCCCGGGAGGGCCAGTAATGCTTGAATCCATAGATCGGGTCAGTAGTGTGCCCTGAAGAGATTTCTCCAGCCTCCTCTTGCCACGGGCTTTGTCCCGTGCTGGTGGCGCATGTGTCGTCGCTGGTTGTGAGCGCGCTAGCAGCCTTGCCCAGAAGCGGTCGAATATATCGCCAATGGTGTCTTTGGCTGCGTTGTTCGTGCTGGACAGGGCTGGCTGTTGCTGCTGCATGGCCCCTTGAGCAGGGTCCAGTGCGTCCGCCATCTTGGAAGTTCCTGTGCCCATGTTTCTTGTGAGATTCGCTGGCCCCGTCGTGGGGCGTGGGGCATGAAGAACTTCGCCTGGCGGGGACCGGGATATCCCCCACCGGTCCAAAGGGGGGAGGGGAGGTGTTTTATGAGGTTGTCAGCGTTGAGCGGGAAAGCGGCCGTCTTTCCTCCTCACCTCCTGCACCAGACCTCAACACGCTGCTACGGTTTGCGGTCATTCCGGGCTTCATGTTTGGTATTGCTGGGTTCGTGCAGGCTTCCCTTCATGCAGGGCACGTCTTGTCTGCTCGCTAGTTAGACTCCGCCCCTTAAAGAAATTTAACCAAAAAAATTATCCTATTAATAATTTAAACCAGACATTAAAAAGCATCAGATAAAAAAAAAACAGACCAGATCTCTTAGAGTACAAAGACAATAAAAACACAAAAAGTGCATTACCATTGCCAATTATTTTTGATTTTAATAACAAAAGCAATGTTATGGAAAAGATCATTAATAAACACTGGCATATATTAAAACAGGATAATATTTTAGCTGGAATCATTCCCGACAAACCACATGTTATGTTCAGAGGAGCACCCAGCTTCAAATCTATCCTCACAAAAAACTACACTAAACAAAACTGCACCACCTCCCCCTTACATTCCCTCTCCTTCTGACTAAACCAAAAGTTTTTTTTAAATGTAACAAATGTGTAGTCTGTAAACGCACAGATGATACTATTAAATAAAAAAACTACCTCTTTTAAATCATCGATTACGACAAAAACATATTCTACAAAAACAAATTATTAATTGCAAAAAATGTAATTTATTTATTAGAATGTTCGTGTGGACTCCAATACGTTGGCATGACTACAAGAAATCTTAAGACCAGACTGGCGGAACATTGCCGTAACATTGCTGTAACATTACGAGAACCACTCGGTGTCTAAACATTTTTTTTTAAAATGGAAAAAACCCTAAACACCTTAAATTTATAGGCATAGACATTTGCAATGTATCATGGAGACAAGGATACATAAAGAAGATTTTAGGGAGCAAAGAAATGAAATGGGTATATAACTTAAAGACCCTTGCTCCCCAGGGTCTTAACATAGATTTTGATCTTTTTAATTTTTTATATATAAAAGTTTAACTTTTTATATATATTTTATTTAAATTTTTACTCTTTACCATATTTTTATTAACATATACCCCTATATATATATATATATATATATATATATATATATATATATATATATATTTACCCATCTGTATGCTCCTTTCAACTCGCAAGTTGTCATTATCTATATAAGTCTGTTATTATATGTCTCTTTTAACCTATATGTATTACCA